AAAGCTGGCTGAGGAATTCTGGGAGTTGAAGTCCACAAGTCTTAAAGTTGCCAAGGTTGGACACCCCTGATTTAGATCATTTTATCTAAGAATTCATGAAAGCATCATCTCCTGAGGAATGGGCTGGGAGTGCTGGGTTCCAGCAAGCCTGTGGAAAGGAGAGAGAAACCTTGGAGGCTGCTATCCAAGATTATAAAACTATCCCCATCATCATTGAGAACAGAATGGGAGCCTGACTTAATCCAGATCCCTAATCTGGTGCAATCGTGCAGCTAAAGCGATTTCCAGGTCACTCCACCTATGTAGAGCAAGGTTGCAAAAGCAGAAAGAGATCACAAATACAACAATTCGGGCTTTATTTATCTGGAGATGCCCCACACACACTTCCTGTCCCCCTGCTGAAGATTTAGCTGGAAGTCCCACGCTCTTTAGTTTGGCCAAGGGGCAAAAACGAAACTGCCTTATCGGTGCAGGGGGGGACTAGTATCTTGCATTTAAGCAGAATTCGCCATTTCTTTCCAAGCCTGGGGCTCTTTCGCAGTGATAAAAGCAAAAAAACAAAGACAAAAAAACAAAAAGACTGGAGATGCCGGGGATCGAACCCGGGGCCTCATACATGCAAAGCATGCGCTCTACCACTGAGCTACATCCCCTCTCCGTCGCAACGTTTTCGAATAGGCATAGAAAAGGCGCAGATTCCGAGGACAAAAAATCAAATGCCTTTTAAATTATATTACATCCAAGTATCTCATCCTAGGACGTATCAATCAGAAGGGATCTCTCGTCCAGTCCTGTTCAAGGACTTCATATACCAATCGGGACAAATCAAGAGACATACTGGAATATCGTAAGATAAACTACAATGGAAAGCAGAACCGTACATTGACTTGGCTTTCATTGGTCTTTTAGTTTCATTCAATCCCTTTGGAAATTAGCTTTTATCAACCCTCGCGAAAAAGATCTATTTTTTTTATAAATGCAACGTCCTGTCTTTGCATGGGACGGACGCAGCTCTTTTTTGGAAAACTGGAGCGGCCCTGAAAAGGACCTTTTCCGCATCTCTTCCGTTCGCCCCCCTGATCCGATCTCCAAATTAGCCGCCGAAGCCGTATAGAGTCCGGCCTTGGCGCTTCAGGGCGTAGACCACATCCATGGCCGTGACCGTCTTCCTCTTGGCGTGCTCGGTGTAGGTCACCGCGTCGCGGATCACGTTCTCCAGGAAGACTTTCAGAACACCCCGAGTTTCTTCGTAGATGAGTCCCGAAATCCGCTTGACGCCCCCGCGCCGAGCCAGCCGGCGAATGGCGGGCTTGGTGATGCCCTGGATATTATCCCGAAGGACTTTCCTGTGTCTCTTGGCGCCACCTTTGCCCAAGCCTTTCCCGCCTTTGCCTCGGCCAGACATCCTTTCCAAACAGGAAACAACCCAACTGTCAAAACTGACTGGGAAATGGACTGATATACCACCGAATCGGACCAGAGGGAAAACTAAACCGGCAGCTTTTTCCCCGCCTTTTTCAGGTTGCCCGTAAAATAGCTTCACAAACAATCGAAATGCCTGTAAAAGAAGCGAAGGGCATGATGGTTCAAGAATTAGAGACACCTCGGCGTTTCTAATCAATATATTCTTTATTGGGAAATTAGGATCATTTGTCCAAAATATATGTCTGCATCAAAATCAAAGGACCGGCATCACAGTTAATTAATAAATAAAAAGCATTTACAATTTATATCCTTTATTGTCACTGAAAATTTCATAAAGATGGGAATATTCCCTGGAGTTCAGCTCTTAAGTGATTTCTTGGCCAATGCAAAAACAATTTGCCATTGATTTCTGAGATGTTTTTACAATTTAGCCTGAAAGCCTGCATTTCCTTGTATATCCCTGTAATAAGCAAGTCTGATTGCTTAGCTTTTTAAACTCATATTGTTGCCTCAAAACTCAGGTGCCCCATATTTGGCATGGAACTGATAACAACTTGATCCCTGAATTTGAGAAAGACACGTTTTACCTTCCCAAAGGGATTTGGGGTTGGTTTTTTTTTTTTTTGGCCTTCATGGAAATACAACCCACCAAGTAATTAAGGCAAAGCAAAAAGCATTTATTAAAGGGAGTCAAGTCTTTATGGGGGACAAAAATAAATGATACACACATTTGTGTATGTTATGTGTCAGAAAGCAAGTGATTAATCAATAAGACCCTGATTGCATGTAAGTCTTGAACTAATAGAAAACATGGGTTCTAGGTAACATTCCACAAGTGGCAAATATAGGGTTTCATTATTCTTTCCCAGCCAGATTTGAATCTTCCTTAAAATTTGCAAGGATATTTGAAGATTTTAAGAATAGCCTCTGTATTGTTTAGTGCTGTGTTGGAAGAATTATCCTTCTGGGTTCAGTTCCAATTCTGCCTTTTTAATATTTCCTAGGATATTTCATTTTTCTAGGTGAGGGGTGGGTGCTAACTTCCTAAAGCTGAAAAAGAGAAGTTTTCACATACCAAAAGAAATGGCCTTGATTAAGAAGAAAAATGCAAGTTTTCCTCAAGATAGAAAAGAGGCTTAGGCTTCGGCATTAAAAATGTTAATAACACTTTTTAAAACGCTAATAACACTATTTAAAGTGCTAAAATTCCAGGTAACAATATACTGTGATGAAATGTTACAAATAAGTCTGGATTTACACTATTTTCTTAGCAAGGTGAGCCAACTGTACTGTATTTATCTCACTCACCACTTTCAGGAAGTTTGTTCAACCAAGCTACACTTGTTTCTAATATTTTTATATCTTGTCTTTACAGTATACTAAGCTACCCAGAGTTGCCTTAGATAGTATAGTACTATGGGTAGCATAGAAATTTAATAAATAAAATGAACTAGCCTAGTATTGTCAGAATAATTTGGGGGCTCAGACTGGAGCCGGAGTTGCACAAGAAAAAAAAAGATCCAGACAGCTGTGAGGAAAGAAATTTTTTTGCTTCCTTTATGGACAGGCTGCAGAGAAATGGGGTGCAGTAGCAAAGTTTTATAGGAGAAACTTGTCCAGAATGTGGACATGTCTACCTGCTGAGTCTTGTGTTGTGTGTGTGTTGAACATATAGTTCTACTGGGACATTTAATTTAATTGTGTTTGCAGACCTTATCTTTCTATATGTGGATTAGGTTTGGGTAACTTATTTTAGGGTTTGAGGAAGTTTGCTAATTTGATTAACTTGGAGAGACTGATTCTCAGACTATTCTCTCACAATTCTTTTAACATTTTAAGAGAAGATGGAAATAGTATAGTTGGATATAAAACTTCTCTCAGTATGGATATCCTAGACCAGTGTTTTTCAATTTTGGTAAATCTAAGATGTGTGGGCTTCAACTCCCATAATTCCCCATGTTGAAGTTGAAGTCCAACCATCTTAAAATTAAAATTGGGAAAACACTCCTAGATTCCAGAATAGTGTACAGCAAAACTGTAGAAATACCCTTTCTAGAGTATTTCTAGAAAGTAAACCCAGTTTTCAGCTGCGGAGATATCAGAATTTAACTCAAATGTTTTGCCTATTTGAAGGATTCAAACGCTCATTCTTAACCATAATTTTTACTATCACACCTCATATTGCTATAGTGTTTTTAAAATTATACTAACGTATTTCACAGAAGAGGCTTTAACAGGATTCAGTGTGCTGCAAACTCTAAACTTGCACCTTGTCATCTTCATGTAGCATGTTTTTGAAATGGTGCAAAAATAGAAACATGCAAATTTTCACAATGCACTGAAGAATGGATGGAAAAAACTGATGGGATTTAGGAGATGGCCAAATTGGCCACTAATAAAGTTGCAAGTTAATGTTTTTCCTTTTGTGCCCCTTACACACTCCTTTCCTCTCCCTTCCCCCATTATCTGTATATTATGGTTGTCCCAAAGGTGCTTTTTCAGGAGGCAACTGGATATTTGTGCTTTCTTTTGAAGGCATTTTACTTCTCATCCAAGAAGCTTCTTCAGCTGACAGGACAGAAGGATATCTGTCAGAGCTGAAGAAACTTCTTGGAGAAGTAAAATTTCTTGTGATTGTAGGACTGTAACTTTGTCGCTTGTATCCTTACTATTTATATTGACTGTTTCCTAGTATGATTGTTGATTGTACCCTATGACTATCATTAAGTGTTGTATGTTATGATTCTTTATTCTTAACGAATGTACCTTTTCTTTATGTATACTTAGAGTATTTACACCAATCATGCTTGCCCAATAAAAATACTGTTCTATCCTAAATGCCTTCAACAGAAAAAAAAAAACAAAGTCCAGTTCTTTCTAGCAAGACATCTGGTGACACACTAACAAGTGCTTTAAAAATAGAAGTCTAGAAAAATCAGTGCACAACCCCTGTAAGAATTAAGTGTGATAGTGATTAGATCTGGAAAAATACAGGCAGGCACAAAAAAAAACACGAAACACATCCCAGCATGCTGAGTTTGCAAATTTTACTTTTACAAATCAGAAATCCTTCAACGGGTATTCAAATTAATGCTTTATCTTCAATTCACCTTAAGAGATTAAGGGGTGGGGGGAAGCTTGCCAAAAAAAAATAAAACAGTACCGAAGATCGACCTCAGACTTTTAGAAGGAAGTGAGCGGCTCTTAAAAGAGCCTTTGGGGTTGCGGATATGAGGTTGCGGATAGTCTTCCCTGCGGTCCACTCGAGAGCTAGCCTACTTGGAGCTGGTGTACTTGGTGACGGCTTTGGTCCCCTCGGAGACAGCGTGCTTGGCCAGCTCGCCGGGCAGCAGGAGGCGGACGGCCGTCTGGATCTCGCGGGAGGTGATGGTGGAGCGCTTGTTGTAGTGGGCCAGGCGGGAAGCCTCGGCCGCGATGCGCTCGAAGATGTCGTTGACGAAAGAGTTCATGATGCTCATGGCCTTGGAGGAGATGCCGGTGTCGGGGTGGACCTGCTTCAGCACCTTGTAGACGTAGATGGAGTAGCTCTCCTTGCGGGTCTTCCTGCGCTTCTTGTCACCCTTCTTCTGCGTCTTGGTGATGGCCTTCTTCGACCCCTTCTTGGGCACGGGCGCTGATTTCGCGGGCTCAGGCATCTTGACAGGCACCTTACCAATCGAAATATCGCACTGATGCCTCCGAGTCCCATATGCTCCTATTTATGAGAGCTTTATGCAAATAAAGTCTTCGGGTGTCTACTTCACTATTGGCTGCGCGAGGAATGGGCTGCGCGACCTTTTTTTTTCTTCAAATGCTGGGTTTCTATTGGCTAAGAAAACGTTTCTATTGGCTGTGCTGGAAAGTCGCCCTTTTATTGGTTGGTGGGAATTTAAATGGCTATCCAATGAATGCTTACCAATTTGAACTCCACCAAAGATAGGAGTAACAGAAAAATGCAGCCGTTAGCTAAAATAACCTGATATATGAGCTAGAATATTTTTTTTTCAGAGCTGCGAAATTCTCAAGGAGAAAGAGAATTTGTGGTTGAGATTGTCTCAAAGGTGCTTTTTTTCTTTCTTTCTTCTTTTTAAAAATACGTATTAATACATCTTTCTTTTATATCATGTGTATGTATTAATATATTTATTAAATATATTAAATATATATATTAAATATATTAATATATTTATGTGTACACACACACACACACAGAGGGGGGGGGTTGATGTCAAGGACCTTGGAATACTCATCTCTAATGATCTAAGTGCTAGAGCCCACTGTAACTACATAGCCAAAAAGGCATTAAGAGTTGTTAACCTAATCCTGTGTAGCTTTTTCTCTGATAATATTGCACTACTAACTAGAGCATACAAAACATTTGCTAGACCTATTCTCAAGTTCAGCTCATCCGTCTGGAACTCGCATTGCACAGTCGAGAGAGTCCAGAGATATTTCACAAGAAGAGTCCTTCACTCCTCTACCCGCAACAGAATACCTTATGCCATCAGGACTTGAAATTTTAGGTTTAGACAACCTAGAACTAGGCCACCTTTGGTCCAACTTAAGCAGTACATAAAATTATCCATTCCAATGTCCTACCCGTGAGCTTCAACCTCAACAATACACGAGCACAGAATAGATACAAACTCAGGGTAAACCGCACCAAACTCGATTGCAGGAAGTATGACTTCATTGAGTGGTCAATGTCTGGAACGCTCTACCTGACTCTGGGGTTTCTTCCCCCAACCTCAAAAAACTTTAACCTTAGACTGTCTACTGTTGACATTACCCCTTTCCTAAGAGGTCTGTAAGGGGTGTGCATAAGCACACCAGCGTGCCTACCGTCCCTGCCCTAATGTTCTTTTTTATTTGTATCCGTTTCATGTATTCATAATCAGAATTAGAATAGAATAGAATAGAATAGAATAGAATAGAATAGAATAGAATAGAATAGAATAGAATAGAATAGAATTCTTTATTGGCCAAGTGTGATTAGACACACAGGGAATTTGTCTTTGGTGCAAATACTCTGTTTACATAAAAGAAAAGATACATTCATCAAGAATCATCAGGTACAACACTTAATGATAGTCAAAGGGTACAATAAGCAATCAAATCATGCTAGGAAATAGTCAATATAAATCGTAAGGATACAAGCGACAAAGTTACAGTCCTATAGTCACAAGTGTTGGGTTGGTGATAAGGAGTGATGAGCAGATTAATAGTAATATCAATGCAGACTTTGTAAATAGTTGGACAGTGTTGAGGGAACTATTTGTTTAGCAGAGTGATGGCATTTGGGGGAAGAAACCTCCCTTGTGTCCAGTTGTTCTGGTGTGCAGGGCTCTATAGCATCGTTTTGAGGGCAGGAGTTGAAACAGTTTATGTCCAGGATGTGAGGGGTCTGTAGATATTTTCACAGCCCTCTCTTTGACTTGACAGGTCCTTCATGAAAAGGCAGGTTGGTAGCCATTGTTTTTTCTGCAGTCCTATCATGTTTATATTGTATATATGTTTATGCTGTAATGTTTATACTATCATCTAATACATGCTTGACAAAATAAACATAAAAAATTCCATCTCAATCTGAACAGTGTGTTGTCTGTACACAATTAGTTTTAAGTAGAAGTACAATATTAACAAAAATCATAATAGTAAGCATAACAAACGTATCAGTAAGAATCACAAAACAGTAATAACAATTAAGTTTATCTATCGTACAAAATTTTCAATGCAAAGGTTATTTTATCTTTTAGATCTTATTAAATTCTAAACTCTGATTCTATCAGTTAACCATGAATAAAAAGGTGCTTTTTCAAAAAGCAACTGGAGTGGTGTTTGTTTTTCCCCCTGAGGAAGAGAAAAATAAAATTAAAAAAAATTAGTCCACCTGCCTTTTGAAAAAGCACCTTTGAGACACTAACCTGGATGACGGAAAATCTCCATAGACATGTCTGAGGTTATGTTCTCCTAGTTAAAAGTGTTGATTCAGTCACGTTTTTCTTTGTCCATTTTTTGGATTGAATTTCCTTCAGCTTGACTCTTATCTATTCATAGATAAATGAATGGTTAAATGGGTACAGGTTTTCCTCGACTCATGACATAATTAAGCCAAAATTTATATTGCTAAGTGGGACATTTGTGAAGTCAGTTTTGTTCCATTTTACGACCTTTCTTGACACAGTTGTTCAGTGAATTGTGGCAGCCATTAAGTTAGGAACACAGCTGTGAAACTAATCCCCATTAACTTTGCTTCTCAGAAGATCGCTGCAACCGTCATAAATATGAACCAGTTGCCAAGCATACAAATTTGGATCACGTGACGATGGTCATAAGTCACTTTTTTTTTCAATACTGTTGTAACTTTGGTCACTAAATGAACTGTTGTAAGACGAGGACTACCTGTGCCCTCAAGGTCATCTATCAGGACATAGGAAGTGTGCTTTCACTGAGGCTTTTCCCCGAGATCAAGCCTCATCCTTCCTGCTTTGGACATATGGCAGTTCCCACAAGCACAGGGATAGGTTGAGGCCAGAGTCCTCCTACAACCTCACTTCCTTCTAGCACTGATGATGTTCTCTAGCTGGGTCATGAAACATCTGCAAGGAAACCACCCAGCCCAGAGACCCCCATGGGCAGTCCTTTTCTTCCTCCCCCTCCTCTCCCCAAACTCCATTTCCTTCAAGCACTGATGATGTTACCTAGTTGGGTCAAGAAACGTCTGCATAAAATAACCAAGCTCAAAGAACACCAAGCATCCTACAGTCCTTTTCTTCTTCTCTTTCCCCCTCCTCCTCCTCTCCATAAGTCCCTCTCCCTTCTAGCATTGATGATGTTACCTATGTGAGGAGTGTATCTATTTTGTGACTCAAAACTCAAGATGAAAAAGGGAGGATTTCCCTTTGAAGTAAGGAAATGCAGTATCAAACACTGATTAGGATGCTGACTGATCTTGGAATGTCTTTGAAACGCTGGGAGATATCACACTTTTTGGAATGCTTTTGAAATGCTAGATACCGGTTATGTATGTTATCTGCTAAGGAAGCGCCGGTTGTATAAGGTAATAAAATGTAACTTGTATCCTGAAAAACAAATTGTAAATCAAGCCATTTGTATACGGGGGGGGGGTTTCAATTTTAGGGTATAAAGATAGAACCTTTAAGCTTTGCTTTTCGTTCTCTCCTCAACTGCCAGAAGGAGGGGACCCATCTGCAGATGTTTTATTCCAATAAAGCCTTTTTCCTTGGATCAACTTTGAATCCTGGTGGTTTTTCTTAGCCACAATCTCACAATTTGGGGGCTCGTCCGGGATCCTCGACGGCGTCGACTGGAAAACGGGGACCAGGTAAGAGAGTGGCCACAACCTCCCATTGAGAGGCACCTCTCCCCGAATTCTGTCAGACTCCCGAGGTGACTGGGAAATCCAGACGATCCTTGGAAAAAGAACTGAGAAGAAATGCCGGCTGAGAGTGTGTGAGATTGATCTGAGTTGGGGACGCCCACACATCCTTTGACTGACTGCGGAAAGTCCAGGAGTGATCAGATCAGGTAAACTTTGTTTCCTTTCATTTGTAGCCAAAAGAGAGAGGTCCTTAAACTCCCTGGGGGAATCCAGCGTCTGCTGGAGGACTGGGCTTAGAAGTCTGAGAGAGAGGGGTCCTTAAACTCTCTGGGAGAATCCAGCGTCTGCTGGAGGACGGGACTGGTGAGTCAAGACTCTGGGAGTCTGAAAGAATAGAGATGGGAAAGGGACAAAGCGAGGCTCTGGGAGCCTGGAAGAAGTAGAAGATGGAGAAGGGACAAAGCGAGGCTCTGGGAGCCTGGAAGAAGCCTGTCTGGGACAGGGAAAATTTGACAATGGCAGAAAATCAATTCCGGTAGATTCGCCTCTGGGACAGCCACTCCTGAAGTGGTTCTCCCCGAATTTAAAGGAATTCACCAGACATCTCGAAAAGAAAAACATGATTTATCTTTGTCGAGATCGATGGCCAAAATACTCTTTGATTGATCCTAAATTCCCATATCACTGGAGTCCTGAGGGGGAAGCCAGTATCTATTGGATGACCAAATTGCGGGACTATATTCTCCAACACAAAATGACTACTCAAATTGCATGTGAAATTTGAAAGTCCCATCCCTCCAATTGAGGGTCAATACATGTCACAACAAAAAGACAATGAGAGTGAGACGGATGATTGGCTGCAGAATCCGCCGCCCGCAAATCCTAATTTGAATAACGCGCCCGCCAATGTTCCTATGGCACCATCGCCATTGCCGATGGCACAACCCCCTCCTCTGCCGCCCCTTTACCCGCGGCTGAGAAAAGAAGTAGAAGAATTAAAGAGAAGTGTTCAGGATTTTCCATTCAGAGAAAAACCTGAAGTGGATGCATTTCCTCTTAGGGAAGTTCCTAATAGGGTCAATGCTGCAGGCAACCCGGTGACAGTCTTTGTGGCTGTCCCCATAAAACCAGCCGAGTTGCGAGAATTAAAAAAGACTCTTCCAAAACTTCATGAAAATGCTTATGAGGTGGCTGAACAATTAGATCTATGGATGGGTCCGAATGATTACACTTATCAGGAGATGATGTACATTTTGGGACATTTGTTCACTCCTGAGGAGAGGAATCTCATTCAGACCTCGGCATGGAGAGCCTG